CTGTTTTTCTTCTCATAAACATTTTATCTTAATTTATTTCAAAATATTCAGTCTCATAAATATAAAAAGGCGTGAAATTCAAAAGAAAGCTTCAAACCCTCACGGGGCTGATGTCTGCAACATATTATTATTATTTAAAGTGGACCTATCATGCTATATTTAAATGATATAGTGTAGGACCATACCTATATAAGGCATATTTATACTTTTCTGTTTTCAAAATACCAAACAGATCATGCATTTTAGCCATGCCTCATTTCGCTCAATTTGACATTTTTTAGCTCTGTTTTTGTAAGGGCAGATTCTGTGAGAACAGCACCATCTACAGGCCTGGCATATGTACTACAGCGTCTCCAGCGCTTTCGAACGGCAATGGCCGTGGCTGTCTCCTCCTGATTGGTGGAGTTGGCCCAATAGCCGTAGCGCCACTGTCCTGACGTCAGGACAGTGTTCAAATCTGGATCAGTTTTTATCAGATCCGTTGCAGCCCCTTTTTTAGAGATTTGGGTATGGAGGAAAATAGAGAGGGTTGTGTTTTCTGACACTTGGTGAGTTCCCTGGAACACCGGGGACACATATTCATGTAGAAAAGACGTACAAAAGTGCATTTTGCATGATAGGTCCCCTTTAAGTATTCCAAAATGTTTTTTTTTTAACATTTCAACTTATTTGGAAAATATTCTCAAAATATTCTTAATTCTTAACTTATTTCTCAAAATATTCTGTCTTTTATTTAATTTTTTTTACATCTTAACTTTCTTTGAAAATATTCTTTAAATATTCTGTGTTTCTTCGTATAAACATTTTATCTTAATTATTTTTCTAAATATTCTGTGTTTCTTCGTATATACATTTGATCTTAATTATTTTTCTAAATATTCTGCATAAATGTGCGACTGAATGCTGATTCTAAACCCATGTTGTGTTTATATAAAAGAAGAATCTGTATAATCTCACCTTTGTGTTTCTGAGCGGAGTGGAGGTCTGATCTCCGCCCTGCAGACGGACCCTCGTCTCCTGGACCTGATCCTTGAACTGTTGCATGCTGGGAGGAAGATCTTCCTCTCCCATGGCGTCCAGGATGGAGTCTGTGAGCACGTCTTCGTCTGTCTTCGTCCTCAGGTTGGTGAAGTCTCTCTGGACGTCTCTCTGGACGTCTCTCTGCCTCTCGCTCTGCTCAGCGTCGTCCAGTCTGTCGAGCAGCGAGCTGTCCTGCAGGAGGCTGTCGTAATCCCCGAACAGATCCTCGCTGTCGCTGCAGAACAACTGAACACAAGATTCAAGGCTTTTATCATCATGTGTTCAGAGCCACAGTGGAGATATATCAATGAACATCTGAGGTCTCAGGCTCCTCCTCCAACAGAGCAACACAATAACACAGATAAAATAGTGTAAGTCAATAAAAATAAAATAGAATAGAATATAAATAGTGCAAGAATAGTCTATATACAAGTAATTGGAATATGATATATTAGATAAATAGTTGTTTACAACCAACAACAGCTGGGAATCAATACAAATAAAACGATACAAACGTCATCTTAACTTAATGCATGCACATTTTACAAAATGCAGACAACAGCATTTAAAAAAAAGAAAAAAAAGAATCATAATTATTGTTTTGATGTGAAAACAACAACATAAATAACCCTTAAAGCTGATCATCCAGCTGTTCATCTGTCCTACCTCTGCAGCAGGTTGTTGTTGTTGTTCTGCCATGATGCTGCTCAGCCTGCAGATCGGAGGACATTTCTCAGGTCCTCTCTTCCTCTCAGGTGTCATCTGTGAGCTATCGCGAGATCTCTTCCTGGACGAGACCCGTTTGATTCTGATGTCTCGTTTCTCAGCAGAATTCATCACAACAGCTGGTGCTACATGTCAATAAAACCTCAAATAAACACAAACAACTACACTAGGAACACAGCTGAGGCTCTGCTACACACACCTGTACACATTGAATACTTCAAACCTAAATTAGATAATGTTTAGATCAAGAAAAAAGCACTTTAAAGCCCATTACACGTTAGCTAGTAAAGCGGTTTTCTTACTCCTGGCAGTTTGTTCTCTGATGTGTTCCTTCCGCGACATTAACAGTCTCCTAAAACCTTTTAAATCACCTCAAACTCCGGTGAAAACGTAAAGAAAGTCTGCCAAAAAAAAGCGTTTTCTTGTATTGCTTCTGTTTTTAACGTCAACAGCTCCGCAAGAATCACGTTTGAATTTGTGAAGAACAAATCCAACGTCAGAGCAAGAGAGGAATCCCTGCGTCACTTCCGGCTTCGGTTGTCGGAGCTAGCAGCGCTAACCGGGATAGCTTCCCAAATGTAGTAATTCATCTATAGAAAACGTTCGATGAATTACCCGAAAACCAAGCTGATTACCGCCACATAGCAGACATGTGTTATCTGCTGTATTTTCTGTCACTGTATAGCCTATCTTCCTGAGAAGTACATGTTAGCAATTGGAACATTCATTCAGTTTCCGGTTGAAAAGTCACCCACAAAGGAAAGCCGATATTTAGATATTAGATTAGATATTTCACTCATATAATCATCAGCTTTTTTAAAATCTCCCTTTGTAGTTTGTATTACAAATACAAAAGTGTTTAAAAAGGTGGGTTAAATGTGAGAAAATCCATACGTAATGTTGATTACGATGGTCGTTTTCTGGGGTGATTTCTATCTTGTGCTGTTATTTTTTATCTTTGAAACGGGGGTAACATTGAATCTGTTCCTAAAATAATACAAAAATAAACGTAATATTAAATATTCATAAGCACACAAAACCATACATTTCATATTATTTTTATACTCAGCAACACAGATATATAATATGCGTAATTTGGCTCTTAACCAACAAGTAATCAGTTAAATAGGTGGTAGGAACTAATAGTTGACTCAGTGAAGAACCCGGAGTTCCCGTCTGGTGGACATCTTCCGGTCGTGTGTCAGGTCAAAATGCTCGTCCTCAGAGGTTTAACGAGAATAAGAACGGTTTTATTACAACAAGGAAACACAGGTGAGACTTTATAACACCTGTATTAAGTGTTATAATGATATAGCATTCATTAAATGTAAACTAACCGTTAATATGTGTTTATTAGGTGGAGTTAAGCTACGTGTTGCTAATGCTAATGCTAACATATGAGCTGTTGTTGATGTCATTTTATATAATAATAATCCTTTTTCTGCAGGTTTAAGAAGTCTCACAACAACCTCAAATGTAGTCCAACCAAACGAGGACAGGGTGGGTAATTTTTATTTATTTATGAATAATTATTACATCAGTAATAACAGGATTAGATTAATATATTTGTGTATTCTTTTTACAGCTCATTAAGATGGAAAACCCCTACAAAGAGCCTCAGAAAGGATGCCTGCTCTGCAATGTGACTGTAGACTTCAAGAACACTCAGGTAAATAAAGCACCTGAGTGTGTGTGTGTGTGGGTAATAAGTGAGTGTGGGTAATGAGTGTGTGTCAGTGTGTGTTTGTCAGTGTGGGTAATAAGTGCGTGTCAGTGTGGGTAATAAGTGTGTGTGTGTGTGGGTAATAAGTGTGTGTGTGTGTGTGTCAGTGTGGGTAATGTGTGTGTCAGTGTGGGTAATGTGTGTGTCAGTGTGGGTAATGTGTGTGTCAGTGTGGGTAATGAGTGTGAGTGTGGGTAATAAGTGTGTGAGTGTGGGTAATGAGTGTGTGAGTGGGTAATAAGTGTGTGTGTGAGTGTGGGTAATGAGTGTGTGTCAGTGTGGGTAATGAGTGTGTCAGTGTGTGTAGTGTGTTTAGTTAAAGGTGGGTTTACAGGAGGGTGTATATGTGTCCATGGTCCTGAACTCCTCATATATCTAGTGTCATTATTAAAAATGTCTGAGGTCTTTTCTTACACTTCAAAATGCAGAATTCTAAAGAGAGATGGACGTTTCAAATGCATTTCAAACGGGGAAAATCTGTTTAGCCACTGTGGGAATATCCACGTCTAAAGAGAGAAATATCCACGAGATCCTTCGCCACTTTTTCAACGGTATGGCGGTATATGAACATTCCCATCACACGGTCTAAAGGTCACGGCATTCGGCACTATGTGGTACAAACATCCTAACCCTGTAGCTGTGAGATCAAACTGAACATTAAGGGGGTTTATCTAGTATTTTTGAACAAGTGGAGCTCCAAAGGTCACAGGAAGTGTCTGAGTGTCGCTGTGATAATAATAATAGTAGATTGTATTTGTAAAGCACCTTTCATTGCTAAAAGTAATCCCAAAGTGCTAAACCCTGATCTGTGTGTTTCCTGTCAGCTGCTGTCTCAGTTCATCTCTCCGTACACCGGACGGATCTACGGACGCCACATCACACGTGAGAGACACCTGGATCTGGAATATCTCCTCAGTGAAGATTCAACTCTGATTTAACGCTGCTTTGTGTTTCAGGATTATGTTCCAGGAAACAGAAGGAAGTGGCCAAAGCCGTGAAGAAATCTCACGCTTTGGGTACGTCTTCCTCACGCTGACCTTTTTGAAATAGGGGTTTAGGCCCTGTTTACATGGAAACGAAAACGAAAACTAACCTTAGTCGATATCAAAAAAGTCTTCCGTCCACACAAGACCGCTGGAGGCGCTGTAGTACATATGCCGGGCCTGTAAGTGGCGCTGTACTTCCGCCACAAAATACACCAAAAGCAGCGAAGAAGACCCCCGAGCATGGTTGCCATGGTTGCCTGGTTGCCCTTCTGTTTATTCCCCGCGGTGGATTTAGCAACATGGAGTTCATGTAGTTCTCCATGTCCACTTGTTGCTGATGGTTGTGGTCGAGGAGCTGTAGAGTTTGCACTAACATCTGTAGCATGGTCAGTAGCGTCTGGAGCACGAACGCAACCCTGTGATCTGCCATTGTTGTTGTTGTTGTTGGCGAAACACATCAGCAATGACGCGGGTGACGCGGGGATGAGCAGCAGAGGTGGGGAGAGGCGTATAGGACGTACACACGGAGCCGTTCCGTCCGCCTTGGGACCCATTATCGTTTGAGGGCTCCGTTACCGCGTTTCCGTTACGGCCTCGTGTGAACGAACCGTCTATACGATAGAGAAAAGTAGCAGATACAACCCGTTCCGTCTCCGTGTAAACGGGACCTTCGACACTAGGAGCTTAAGGAGCCAGAAGAGGAGGGGTCATATTAAAGGAAAAACGTCATTAAAAAGTGGTACATTTCCATCCATTTGGATATTCTGAGATTCATTCACAAATTTAACGGGAATTTCTTTTTTACAGAAAATATATTTTAATGTTCTCAGATTAAAGTAAAGAAAAATAAATCCCTGATATTTTTGGAGAAAATTGACAAAAATAATATTATTCTGAGTCAAAGTATGTACAATTTATAAAAAAAAAACTAAAAAAAAACTTGAATATTCTGAGATTTTAGTAAAATATTTAGGAGAAAAAACTCTTTTTGAGATAAAAAAAGTGAGTTTACGAAAAACTACATTATCGTAAGAAAGGGGAAAAAAAGCGATTCAACTTGGAAATGTATGAAAACTCGAAGATGAGATTTCAACAAATTTTAAATAGTTAAAAACCTTAAATATATTGTATGTGTTTGTCTTTTCTCTGCAGGCTTCATGTCGGTCACCCACAAACACCCGGAGTTCATGAAGGACCCGCACGTCTGTGGGAGACACCTGGAGTAATGTGAAATGTGTTTATTAAAGCTGTGTGTTTGTTATCAGTCGCTCATCTGATAGGATTATTACTAATCTAAAATCAATAAATGTTGTTTTTTTTTCCCTCTAATTTGAGTTTTCTTTAAATTAAATGCAGTTTAATTTCTTCAGCTTCAACACTTAGTACTCAAACTTTAATATTGCTATTGAATTGATAGTAAAATGGTAAATGGACTGTATTTATAGCCCATTGTTTCACACGTTAGGCTCGCCTGGGCTTCTTTTGTAATTATGCTATTAAAACATGAACCTTGGTGACCGCCTGCATGGTCTGAACTAACCAAGCCTCTGATCAACAGACTTCATGCAATGCTTCATTGGATGCATGATATCAGATCAGGGTCTATGCAGGAAGTCACATGTAAAACCTTTTAAGACCCTTTCCATACATTTTAAGACCTCATCGCCACTTTGAGTTTTAACCGGTTACCTTGGCGACACACTTTACCTCACATTGACTATATTCAGTATTGATTGTCCTTCCTCCTTATCTTCCAACCATTTGGACGCAGACTTGCATTTCCCCGTAACGATGTTGTTTAACAACCGGCGTAAACGGACCTTCGCGCGCTATCAAGCAGTGAGCGTGCGATGTCCTGTTCAGATGACGTCAAACCCAACGGGATGCCATCAATAAACTCCACAGAATCACACTACACACCTACGCAATGATTACATTCAGGCAGACTGTAGAATACAACCTCTTTGGACCATTTATATACTGATTGAAAACTAGCTACAACATGTAATACCTTGGAAAATGCCCTTTAATACTTTTTAAGACCCTGCGGAGCCCCTGGAGATAATAATCTCTAACTCCTAACATCTGAATCTACTTCCAGCATGGATACATGTTCCTAAAAGACATCCATTGTTTCTTTTATACGCTTCTTGAAATATAATAAAAAAACAGTTTTTCTAGAACAGATTACAAATCGCCTGAAAATGGTACAAACACGTGGCAACATGTGGGACGAAGGTGTGGCGCTGGGCTATATCCTGCAATCTAAAGTGAAAGTTAAGCTCGCTCCATTGCGGAGATATTCCCGCGAGAGTGCGGAAAACTTAAATTTATTTATTTATTTCAAATGTGAAAATGTACCAATATACTCACGGGCCACTAGGGGGCGGGCACGGACCACACTTTGAGAAGCACTGGCTTAGTGTACTATTTGTAATTATATATATTATGCAAATTAATTGTATTTATTTAAATAGTGTTATTGTGTGTGTTGTTAGTTTCAACTGTAGACACACAAACGGCATGTTTAAATAATTAAATTAAAGACTGACACAGACTTTATCAAAAGACGACTTTATCAAATGGAAACAACTTATAAAATACATCAGATCACTTCAGGAGGGGAGGGGGGAGACCCTCCTCCGACCTGAGCTCGTTTCATTCAGGATTCACTTTCTGCGTTTCCTCTCGCTGCTCGCCGCCATCTCTCTCCTCCTCTTTCGGGAGTGTGTGTTCTCCTGAGTCTCCTCCTCACACACTGCCTCTTCCTCCTCACACACTGCCTCTTCCTCCTCGTCCTCCTCACACACTGCCTCTTCCTCCTCTTCCTCTTCCTCCTCTCCGCTGAAGGTGCGTTCAGGGACAGGAAACCCCTGCAGCGTCAGAGTTTGTGTGAGGAAGAGCGGCGAGCGCTTGAACAGAGCGCCGACGGCCTCCTGGAGACGAAGATTCCTCCTCTGGTCCTCCTCTTCCTCGCCTGGAACACAGCGTAAGACTGACTCTTCATCATGACTCAACAACAAACACAGTCACACACACAGTCACACACACAGTCACACACACACACACAGTCAAAGTCACACACAGTCACACACAGTCATAGTCACACACAGTCTCACACACAGTCACACACACAGTCATAGTCACACACAGTCACACACACAGTCATAGTCACACACAGTCTCACACACAGTCACACACACCGTCACACACACAGTCATAGTCACACACAGTCACACACACAGTCTCACACACAGTCACACACAGTCATAGTCACACACAGTCTCACACACAGTCACACACACAGTCACACACAGTCATAGTCACACACAGTCACACACACAGTCATAGTCACACAGAGTCACACACACAGTCACAGTCACACACACAGTCACACACACAGTCATAGTCACACACAGTCACACACACAGTCTCACACACAGTCATAGTCACACACAGTCACACACACAGTCTCACACACAGTCACACACACAGTCACACACAGTCATAGTCACACTCATAGTCACACAGTCACACACACAGTCATAGTCACACACAGTCACACACACAGTCTCACACAGTCATAGTCACACACAGTCACACACAGTCATAGTCACACACAGTCACACACACAGTCATAGTCACACACAGTCACACACACAGTCATAGTCACACACAGTCACACACACAGTCATAGTCACACACACAGTCATAGTCACACAGTCACACACACAGTCATAGTCACACACAGTCATAGTCACACAGTCACACACAGTCTCACACAGTCATAGTCACACACAGTCATAGTCACACACAGTCACACACACACAGTCACACACACAGTCACACACAGTGTCACACACACAGTCATAGTCACACACACAGTCTCACACACACAGTCATAGTCACACACAGTCACACACAGTCATAGTCACACACAGTCACACACAGTCACACACACAGTCATAGTCACACAGTCATAGTCACACACAGTCACACACACAGTCTCACACAGTCATAGTCACACACAGTCACACACACAGTCATAGTCACACACAGTCATAGTCACACACAGTCACACACACAGTCATGGTCACACACAGTCACAGTCACACACACAGTCACACACACAGTCTCACACACACAGTCACAGTCACACACACAGTCTCACACACAGTCATAGTCACACACAGTCACACACACAGTCTCACACACAGTCACACAGTCACACACACACACAGTCATAGTCACACACAGTCACACAGTCATAGTCACACAGTCACACACACAGTCTCACACACAGTCTCACACACAGTCATAGTCACACACAGTCACACACACACAGTCACACACACACACAGTCATAGTCACACACAGTCACACACACAGTCACACACACAGTCACACACACAGTCATAGTCACACAGTCACACACACAGTCATAGTCACACACAGTCTCACACACAGTCACACACACAGTCACACACAGTCACACACACAGTCACACACACAGTCATAGTCACACAGTCACACACACAGTCATAGTCACACAGTCTCACACACAGTCACACACACAGTCATAGTCACAGTCACACACAGTCTCACACACAGTCATAGTCACACAGTCACACACACACAGTCACACACAGTGTCACACACACAGTCATGGTCACACACAGTCACAGTCACACACACAGTCACACACACAGTCATAGTCACACACAGTCACACACACAGTCATAGTCACACAGAGTCACACACACAGTCACAGTCACACACACAGTCACACACACAGTCATAGTCACACACAGTCACACACACAGTCTCACACACAGTCACACACACAGTCATAGTCACACACAGTCACACACACAGTCTCACACACAGTCACACACACAGTCACACACAGTCATAGTCACACTCATAGTCACACAGTCACACACACAGTCATAGTCACACACAGTCACACACACAGTCTCACACAGTCATAGTCACACACAGTCACACACAGTCATAGTCACACACAGTCACACACACAGTCATAGTCACACACAGTCACACACACAGTCATAGTCACACACAGTCACACACACAGTCATAGTCACACACACAGTCATAGTCACACAGTCACACACACAGTCATAGTCACACACAGTCATAGTCACACAGTCACACACAGTCTCACACAGTCATAGTCACACACAGTCATAGTCACACACAGTCACACACACACAGTCACACACACAGTCACACACAGTGTCACACACACAGTCATAGTCACACACACAGTCTCACACACACAGTCATAGTCACACACAGTCACACACAGTCATAGTCACACACAGTCACACACAGTCACACACACAGTCATAGTCACACAGTCATAGTCACACACAGTCACACACACAGTCTCACACAGTCATAGTCACACACAGTCATAGTCACACACAGTCATAGTCACACACAGTCACACACACAGTCATGGTCACACACAGTCACAGTCACACACACAGTCACACACACAGTCTCACACACACAGTCACAGTCACACACACAGTCTCACACACAGTCATAGTCACACACAGTCACACACACAGTCTCTCACACAGTCACACACACACACAGTCATAGTCACACACAGTCACACAGTCATAGTCACACAGTCACACACACAGTCTCACACACAGTCTCACACACAGTCATAGTCACACACAGTCACACACACAGTCTCACACACAGTCACACACACAGTCACACACACACACAGTCATAGTCACACACAGTCACACACACAGTCACACACACAGTCACACACACAGTCATAGTCACACACACAGTCATAGTCACACAGTCACACACACAGTCATAGTCACACACAGTCTCACACACAGTCACACACACAGTCACACACAGTCACACACACAGTCACACACACAGTCATAGTCACACAGTCACACACACAGTCATAGTCACACAGTCTCACACACAGTCACACACACAGTCATAGTCACACAGTCACACACAGTCTCACACACAGTCATAGTCACACAGTCACACACACACAGTCACACACAGTGTCACACACACAGTCATGGTCACACACAGTCACAGTCACACACACAGTCACACACACAGTCATAGTCACACAGTCACACACACAGTCATAGTCACACACACACAGTCATAGTCACACACAGTCACACACAGTCATAGTCACACACAGTCACACACACAGTCATAGTCACACAGTCACACACACAGTCATAGTCACACACACACAGTCATAGTCACACAGTCACACACACAGTCTCACACAGTCATAGTCACACACAGTCACACACACAGTCATAGTCACACACAGTCACACACACACAGTCACACACACAGTCATGGTCACACACAGTCACAGTCAAAGTCACACACACAGTCAAAGTCACACACACAGTCAAAGTCACACACACAGTCACACACATAGTCACACACACAGTCACACACACAGTCAAAGTCACACACAGTCACGCACAGTCAAAGTCACACACACAGTCACAATCACTCACAGTCACACACAGTCACAGTCACACACACAGTCAAAGTCACACACACAGTCACACACAGAGTCACACACAGTCACACACAGAGTCACACACAGTCAGTCACACACACAGTCAGTCACACACAGTCAGTCACACACACAGTCAGTCACACACAGTCAAAGTCACACACAGTCACATAGTCACACAGTCACACATACAGTCACACACACAGTCGAAGTCACACACACAGTCACACACATAGTCACAGTCACACACATAGTCACACACACAGTCAAAGTCACACACAGTCACACACATAGTCACAGTCACACACATAGTCACACACACAGTCAAAGTCACAGTCACACACATAGTCACACAGTCACACACACAGTCACACAGTCACACACACAGTCACACATACAGTCACACACACACACACACACACACAGTCATAGTCACACACAGTCATAGTCACACAGTCACACACACAGTCATAGTCACACACACACAGTCACACACAGTCACACACACAGTCACACACACAGTCTCACACAGTCATAGTCTCACACAGTCATAGTCACACACAGTCACACACACAGTCATAGTCACACACAGTCACACACACACAGTCACACACACAGTCATGGTCACACACAGTCATAGTCACACACAGTCAAAGTCACACACACAGTCAAAGTCACACACAGTCAAAGTCACACACACAGTCAAAGTCACACACACAGTCAAAGTCACACACACAGTCACACACATAGTCACACACACAGTCAAAGTCACACACACAGTCAAAGTCACACACAAAGTCACACACACAGTCAAAGTCACACACAGTCACGCACAGTCACAGTCACACACACAGTCAAAGTCACACACACAGTCACACACAGAGTCACACACAGTCAGTCACACACAGTCAGTCACACACAGTCAGTCACACACACAGTCAGTCACACACAGTCAAAGTCACACACAGTCACATAGTCACACAGTCACACATACAGTCACACACACAGTCACACACATAGTCACACACACAGTCAAAGTCACACACATAGTCACAGTCACACACACAGTCACACACACAGTCAAAGTCACAGTCACACACATAGTCACACACACAGTCACACAGTCACAGTCACACACACAGTCACATAGTCACACAGTCACACACACAGTCACACACACACACACACACACACACACAGTCACACATACAGTCACACACACAGTCACACACACAGTCACACACATAGTCACACACACAGTCACACAGTCACAGTCACACACACAGTCACACACACAGTCACATAGTCACACAGTCACACACACAGTCACACATAGTCACACACACACACACAGTCATAGTCACACACAGTCATAGTCACACAGTCACACACAGTCACACACACAGTCACACACACAGTCTCACACAGTCATAGTCACACACAGTCACACACACAGTCATAGTCACACACAGTCACACACACAGTCATGGTCACACAGTCATAGTCACACACAGTCACACACACATTCAAAGTCACACACACAGTCAAAGTCACACACACAGTCAAAGTCACACACAGTCAAAGTCACACACACAGTCAAAGTCACACACAGTCAAAGTCACACACACAGTCACACACAGTCACACACACAGTCAAAGTCACACACAGTCAAAGTCACACAAACAGTCAAAGTCACACACACAGTCAAAGTCACACACACAGTCACACACATAGTCACACACACAGTCAAAGTCACACACAGTCACGCACAGTCACAGTCACACACACAGTCAAAGTCACACACACAGTCACACACAGAGTCACACACAGTCAGTCACACACAGTCAGTCACACACACAGTCAGTCACACACAGTCAAAGTCACACACAGTCACATAGTCACACAGTCACACACACATAGTCACACACACAGTCAAAGTCACACACACAGTCACACACATAGTCACAGTCACACACATAGTCACACACACAGTCAAAGTCACACACAGTCACACACATAGTCACAGTCACACACACAGTCACACACACAGTCACACACATAGTCACACACACAGTCACACAGTCACAGTCACACACACAGTCACATAGTCACACAGTCACACACACAGTCACACATACAGTCACACCCACACACACACACAGTCACACACATAGTCACGGTCACACACAGTCACACACACAGTCAAAGTCACACAGTCACAGTCACACACATAGTCACACACACAGTCAAAGTCACAGTCACACACATAGTCACACACACAGTCACACAGTCACACACATAGTCACACACACACACACACAATCACTCACAGTCACACACACAGTCAAAGTCACACAGTCACACTCAAAGTCACACAGTCACACACAGTCAAAGTCACACAGTCAAAGTCACACAGTCACACACACAGTCTCACAGTCACACACACAGTCAAAGTCACACAGTCACACACACAGTCAAAGTCACACAGTCAAAGTCACACAGTCAAAGTCACACAGTCACACACAGTCAAAGTCACACAGTCACACACACAGTCAAAGTCACACAGTCACACACACAGTCAAAGTCACACACAGTCAAAGTCACACAGTCAAAGTCACACAGTCACACACAGTCAAAGTCACACAGTCACACACACAGTCAAAGTCACACAGTCAAAGTCACACAGTCAAAGTCACACAGTCACACACAGTCAAAGTCACACAGTCACACACACAGTCAAAGTCACACAGTCACACACACAGTCAAAGTCACACACAGTCAAAGTCACACAGTCAAAGTCACACAGTCACACACAGTCAAAGTCACACAGTCACACACAGTCAAAGTCACACAGTCAAAGTCACACAGTCACACACACAGTCAAAGTCACACACAGTCAAAGTCACACAGTCTCACAGTCACACAGTCACACACACAGTCAAAGTCACACAGTCTCAGTCACACACACATAGACACACCGAGCATGTGATCAGGAAGGTATCACGTGACGCCTGACATGTGGAAATCAGACGTCTAACGCTATCGCGATGCGTTCAATGTCATCCTGTAAAACTACATTTCTGCTATGATCTTTTTTTTGGAATCCAACCTGTTCTTCCTGCAGCTTCACTCTTCTTCCTCCTCTCTCTGCTCCTCTTCCTCAGCGCTGACACTTCAGACTGAAGAGTCTCCAGCTGCCGCTCGCTGTCCTCCACCTCTCTGCACGCTGCCTACACACACACAATAGGAGGTTAATACACACACACACACACATACACACACAATAGGAGGTTAATACACACACACACACACACACACACACACACACACACACACACACACACACACACACACACACACACACACACACACACACACACACACACACACACACACACACACACACACACACACACACACACACACACACACACACACACACACACACACACACACACACACACACACCTGCAGCTCCTCCTGCAGAGAATCGTTCATGGCGTTCACATCGTTGACGTCTCGCAGCAGACCGTCAGAGGAGAAGAAGCTGGAGCTGGAGGAGGAGAAGAAGAAGATGTGTGAAGGTGTTCCTCAGGCTGTAGTTACCTGTGTCTCCTGATGGTGGCGCTGTATCTCAGGTGTTCAGGCTGTAGTTACCTGTGTATCTCAGGTGTTCAGGCTGTAGTTACCTGTGTCTCCTGAAGGTGGCGCTGTATCTCAGGTGTTCAGGCTGTAGTTACCTGTGTCTCCTGATGGTGGCGCTGTAGCGTTCTGATGGTCTTCCGGCAGGAAGCTTCCAGTAGCTCTGAGGCTCCTGAAGACCCAGATTGTTCACCAGCAGGGGAACACTCTGGAACACACTGAGGACACACACACACACACATTAACACACTGAGGACACACACACACACACACATTAACACACTGAGGACACACACACACACACATTAACACACTGAGGACACACACACACACACACACACACACACACACACACACACACACACACACACACACACACACACACACACACACACACACACACACACACACACACACACACACACACACACACACACACACACACACACAACACCACAACACACACACACACACACACACACACACACACACACACACACACACACACAGTATTTTGTGTTACCTGTTGCGTGAGATGTACGCGCAGTACTCGGTCCTGTGAGTACTCTCAGCACTGCTCGCTCTGTGGGGGGTCAGCAGCAGGAACAGAAGGTGGGGGTTTCTCAGCGATGCCTTCAGGGACTGGTGGACAATCCGCTCTCTGAAGCTCAGCTGCTGATCAGAGTTCCTGCGCTGCCGGTACCAGCCCAGCACGCTGTCCTGCAGGGGGCGCTCACGTGGGTTAGGGTACACCTTAGAACTCAGTCTGCAGTCACTGAGCGTTAACAAAGAGTCACATTTAGTTCATTCCAAACACAGAAGTGTTGGCATTCAAAGGGTTAACACTCTGACAATAACTGATGATTTGGTAGTGACGCTGGTGTAAAGACTATACTCAGGGAAAGTGGAAAATAATATGAATTACAAATATTTTAATGACAAATGTTCACCTCTAAAATGTGACACGTTAAAACTTTAATGTCTGACCTGCTTATTGTCCGCCAGCAGCTTCTGCACAGCGACCGAGTTCACCTCTCCTGCCCCGCTGTAGAAACTACACACACACACACACACACACACACACACACACACACACACACACACACACACACACACACACACACACACACACACACACACACACACACACACACACACACACACACACACACACACACACAGTTTTATTTATATAGCACATTTATAAATGATTTTTGGTCGAGCCAAAGTGCTGTACATATAATAAAAATACCCTACAGTAAAGACACTTTACAGCAAACAGCACAGTTTGTTCAGAATATCAGTGACAATACGACACCCTCTGTCCTTAGACCCTCTGTCCTTAGACCCTCTGTCCTTAGACCCTCACATCGTACAAGGAAACACTTCCAGAGAAACCCCACAGTTTAAAGGAACATGGGAGAAAGCTCAGGGAGAGCAACAGAGGAGGGATCCCTCTCCCAGGACGGACAGACGTGCAATAGATGCCGTGTGTAAATCGAAGAGATAATACATTTACAACATAGGTAGACCAAATGTTTGGAAATGCATGTGTCTATAATAAGAAGATGACATTTTATAAATATTAAACTAACATATATATATATATATATATATATATATATATATATATATATATATATGTACTATAGGTGTGTAATCTCTCAGGACTCACTGGTTCAGTTTGTTGCAGGCGATGTGCTTCTGTACGTCTGTTAGAATAAATAAAGAGGTTATTATTATACAGTTATAACAATCAAATGAAAGGGACAGTAAGGATGCTGTTATATTATATTAATAATGATATATTCTCACAGTAGATCTCCTGGATGTTGATCCTGTCGGCCTGAGAGTCGCTGATGGTGATCTGCTCTTCAACCCGACTCTCCCCCAGGACCAGACCCTCCTACACACACACACCATTAAACACATTAAACTACATGTTACACTTCATTTATTTAATAATCCTGCTGCTTTTATACCGGAATGAGTACTTTGTATGATATGATGTTAAGGTATCTCACACACACTCTCACACACACACATATTGTTTACATTAAGTGAGCAACAAATAGCACATTAAATTAAATATAAATGTGAAGATGATATAGGCATGTTATTGTTGTTGTTGTTGTTGTTATTGTCATAAGTTCAGCGTTTAAAAAGGGACTTATTGTACCTAATTGATCATATAATAGCAATGTTTTTCAACTACATTTTTCAGCAGACTAGAATAAAGTTATAAAAATCATCTCTTCTGCACAGAGCTGAACCTCCAGGCCGATTAATGGATAAGTAGTTTGAGATAAAACAATAAGAACAGATGAACTTAGTAGAAGCTTCACATGTTTCCAGCAGGTTCAGCAGCACATTGGGATATTATGGGATGTTCCCTCACCGCGTCAGAGTCCGTGTTCCCGTGCTGGAACATCAGAGAAGATAAAACGATCCCAGAAACACGGACCGTCGGCTCCGCCATCTTTGTTGTTGTTCTTCTTCACCGTGGTGACGTCAGGAGCGTCACTACGGGGTCATATATGCGCGGGAAAAATATTTATAACGCGATCCCGTTTAATTTATGGAAGCCCATTGGCGCAAAGAAGGGAAGAAAATGTGATTAAAATGTAGTTTTTGTGATGAAAAAACAACATTATATGAGATATTTTGATGACAAACGTTGGTAGGTAGGTAGGTAGGTAGGTAGGTAGGTAGGTAGGTAGCATAGACGTGCGGTGAGGTTCATGGCTGGTGAGGCACTGACTCACTGAGTCAGATTTACAAATATTATATTTTGACCTTAAAGGGCCCATGTCATGGCCATTTCCACTGATCATAATTACATTGTTGAGGTATACTAAAATAGATTTATACTGTGCAATTTTCCAAACTCACATTGGTTTCGCATACAGCATCTCTGTAAAGTATGTGTATTCAGCAGTATTCACTCTCTCCACTAAACGACTCGTTGGAGCTCTTGCCCCCCCCTCCCTGTGAGTCTAGTGTGCTCCGATTGGTCAGCTCGGCCACTCTGTTCTGATTAGTCAACCACCAGAGAGGCTCCGCCCGCTTTTTTCGGGGAACATCAGTGTAATAATGGCGTCGGTACAGCTGATATTTTATACGCTAACTAACCGAACTGAACCTACAACTGTTGTTATAGAAGAGTGTGACGGCCCCAGGGCCTTTGTGCAGGTGTGTTGCAGGTCTTACGGTGGGGTGGAGCTGAAGAGGCTAATCAGTGCGATCACGGACACCTCCGTAGCCGGTGCTATTAATCCCAGCGGCCCAGCGGCTCGGCGATTCTCTCCCCGACCACCTATCTCTGCATTTACCACAATAAATGTGCCGTGGTTTTGTAAACTCGTGTATGTCTCCTTGCCTTTCCGTTGTGGCCTACGAGCCGGTCATAACAAAGAGTAAGTTATTTTTACCTGTAATAAACTACTACTGTTGAGAAATCAAATCATGGTTTGCTATATATGAATGATAAGTTATAGGAGCAAATAATTCAGGGAAGAAAGGTTAGGCCTACTAAGTATTTCCATTAAACTTTATTTTTAGAAATGTACAAAATGAACATAAATATACATATATACACATGGTATATCATCCATTCCTCCCCGCATCTTGCCTGGGCGCAGCCGGGGCTTTTTAGGACGAGGCCTCAGTGTGGTAGTCCCGTCGCCGTCATGTATTGTCCGCCAGGATCTGGCTGGACGAAATCAAATGCAAATCACAAAATATTAGAGAAACTTAGTTGTTTTAGATTCGTTAGTAGTAGTTGTGGTAGGAGTGTGGATCTATCTAATGAACAGCTTGCCTGCTAATATGCTAACCTAGCTTTCGTCTGTGAAATGCCGGTTCTTCGAACCTCTGAAGGAACAGTGTTAAAAAGACATTTCAACCACTGACTTCGTCGTGGTTCTTCCGTCGGTAGGACAAACAGCTCAGATTTCTCCTCACATTTCAGGAAACAGGTCCTTGGCAGTGGCATGACTGGATCGATTGTGAACTGAACCAGAGCTTCCAACAGTAAATGTTAGGCTGGCAGAGGGTGCGGCCAGCGCCGCTGGGTGTGGCCATAGCTCTTCGGGATTGGTCCATTTCGTTCCGGGTACCGCATGACATCATGCGGTACCCGGAACTAAATGGAAGACTCAAATGGGCAGTGACGTATCTCCAACGAGGCGTTTTGGGGAGGTATTTTCTGTGTTAGAGTTTTACTCGCTACAGGGTGTACTTTGAGGGTTTTGACTCTGCACACCGTTTACATGCATAAAAACCTTCATAACACACAAGGGGACGGGTAATAACCGGAGAAGCATGACATGGGAGCTTTAATCGAAATATTCGGTTATTTTCAAAAGCTTTTTTTAGTCTGATGCTTCGATTCATTTTAAACAGACCGTTCAACAAAAGGATACCCAAAATCTAAATATTGGATTGTTCTTTCTTAGTAAGATCCCATTTTCATTACAAATGTTGTCTTACCTGGACTTGAAGATGAAGTCCATGCTATCCTTCTGGACAACAATCTCTATTACTTTTTTGTAAAAGTCCTCCTTATCTTCCTGTAGTTTCAAAAGTCTAGTTTGTTGTTTGCGTCTACCGTCTCTGCGTAGAATTACAGTAGCAACAAGAACCTGTGGGCTCACGTGCGCCCCCTTCAGTGCGGCAGAGGTTATGGCTGCCTCCCCTGGTGCTTTTTTCATTGCCGTTGTATGATGAGACCAGCGGGCCTAAATATCATATATACGTGAAATAAGTTATTTAGAGACTATGGATGGTGAGGATAAATGTAATAAAGAGATCTACAAACATTACATTGGTGACCTACAGTGAGATGGGAACAGGCATGCGCTTAGGGCCCGCTTTCCAGACAGTTTCTGTGGGGTGACGCATTCTGAGGTGAGGCAGAGCTCATCTGTGCCTCACCTCACCCCACAGTAACTGGCTTGAGCACGCTCACAAAATAAGTGCCCGCGCTAAATTAGTGCCCGCGCTCCAGCAAGTTACTGTGGGCTTACGAGAGGCAGAGCTCGTCCCTGCCTCACTTGTCATCGCTCCCGTAGCGGAGCTCGGCAAATTTGCTGATTTTGACTATAAAAAGCGATTAGAATTATACATAAATCACACTTACAACACAGATCAGTGGAGACATTTTATTATTATTACTATTTAGTTTTTCTTTAGTTGTTTTTCCGTTACATCGGAGTATGACAGGTGAGGCTCTGCCTCCCCTGACTGCACGTCGCTGGTAGGTAGGTAGGTAGGTAGGTAGGTAGGTAGGTAGGTAGGTAGGTAGGTAGGTAGGTAGGTAGGTAGGTAGGTAGGTAGGTAGGTAGGTAGGTAGGTAGGTATGTAGGTAGGTAGGTAGGTAGGTAGGTAGGTAGGTAGGTAGGTAGGTAGGTAGGTAGGTAGGTAGGTAGGTAGGTAGGTAGGTAGGTAGGTAGGTAGGTAGGTAGCAGTGATGTGCGGTGAGGTTCATGGCTGGTGAGGCACTGACTCACTGAGTCAGATTTACAAATATTATATTTTGACCTTAATCGAAATATTCGGTTATTTTCAAAAGCTTTTTTAGTCTGATGCTTCGATTCATTTTAAACAGACCCTTCAACAAAAGGATACCCAAAATCTAAATATTGGATTGTTCTTTCTTAGTAATATCCCATTTTCATTACAATGGTGGTCTTACCTTGACTTGAAGATGAAGTCCATGCTATCCTTCTGGACAACAATCTCTATTACTTTTTTGTAAAAGTCCTCCTTATCCCTCTTAGGTGCCTTACAAATAATGGACATCCACTCTCGGGAGCGTCGGAGTGGTGCGGTCACCCTAAGTGACAGACCTAAAGTATCCGGGATTCAGGCACCTTCCCTGGCTTGTACATTTTTGGTGATGCGCCCTGGAGGTATCAGACTATTTTAAACAACTTTTCCCCGCCTTTCAAACACTTATTCCGGGGTTTTAGTCAGTCATTTTGCACGATATCATTTAACATTGACGCTCTCCTGAAAATGCACATATTCTGTGCATTTTCAGGAGAGCGTCAATGTTAAATGATATCGTGCAAAATGACTGGCTAAAACTCTCTTCCAGACATTTAAAAATACTTTCCCCGACCATTTAAACATTATTTCTGGCTTCTAAAGTGCAGTTATGCGCCCTGGAGGTATTATACTATTTCAAACAACTTTTCCCCGCCTTTCAAACACTTATTCCTGGGTACAAGTGTTATCTTTCCCCCCCTGGGTGTGTGTGTGAGACAAGTGAACTGAGTCAGCCTGCCAACAAGCAGCACTCTGCTGTCATTTGAAACATGTTACCCCACTGTTTAACACACCTTTACCCACGTTTTGAGCACTCTTTCCTGGGTTGAAAAGACATGTGCTGTAGCCTGGTTCTCTCCCAGTACTGGGTACTAGTTAATGCCACTATCACCACCACATTTAAACCAGATGAACTGGTAGTTATCCGGGGTGCTGCAGAGTCATTTTCAGGCTCCTCTCCACAATTGTCCCCCTAAAATGATTTTAAATCATTATTTTTGCATTTAAATGCATTTATTATATCATTTATATGGTTCCCCAACACAATGCACATAGTCTGGAGCTCACTGGGGTCCTGCATATAATTTAATCAGGCGTTTTAACACTTTTTCCCACGAAAATGATTTTTAATCACTATCATGGGGCTATGAAAATCAAATTCCGGGTAATGCAGAGCACAATTGCACCTTTTACTATTTAAATGTATTTGTATTATATATTTTTGGGCTAGAAAGGTGACCTCTCTGGGTGATTTAGTCAGTTTATGGAGCTTAGCCCACAAATCCTGGATGATCCAGGCCGAATTTGGGTGCTCATACGCGGCCTGCTAGGCGTCCCCACCCGTGGAAAGCAAAAAAAAGTGAAGAAAACGGTTAATTATATCTTAAAATAATCAAAAATGAAGTTTTGAAAAATTGTCAAAAAATGACTGGGTGCCAACAGGAGAAGGGGCCAAGTGTTTGGCGCTTCGGGCCGTTTTTTCCCTTCTCCGATGGTTGGTGCAACGGAGAAGGGGAAAAGGTCCCTGGGCTTCATTTCCCCTACCCTGTGAAAAAGATTCATCCATACTTTTCAAGCTACCGTCCGCACGAAATCGGAAACCCAGTTTTTGGGTGCACTCAGAAAAAAAACGGCTGTTGCAAATCATGGAAGAATGTATCCGCTCACCAAGCACTCTGAGTGGGCCTAATTTTGTGCCACAAGACCCCCCAGCCTGGTTCTCCAAATACTTTAAATTCGACATGGAGGAATGGAGGGCACTTTGCAGGTGACTCTACCCGATTTTGAAGCACTATTTTGGGGCATAATTTTTACATTTTCCTGGTTCTCCAAATACTTTAAGTTGGACATTTTGAGCCATGGAGGAATGGAGGGCACTTTGCAGGTGACTCTACCCGATTTTGAAGCACTATTTTGGGGCATAATTTTTACATTTTCCTGGTTC